ATCAGATCAGAATCAATTAATTATTATCAATACGAACATTCAATCATAAACAGATTCAAGCAATTTTTGTGTTTTTGGCAATAGAACAATACTCGCATGAACACAGCTTCTTGTTCGAGTTTTTAGACTTAAAAAGATCAAATTCACCATGACTTTCAGTGTTCTAATCAAATTCCTTTAAAAGGAATTTCATTTTGGTGAATACGAACTCAATTTGATCATTAATTTTGAGTTTTACTTGATGAGTTTTGATTAATTTGATGATTTTAGTCGAACTATGCTTTGATACTGTCAGATTTACCTTCATCGCTCGATGAATGTTCTTGACGAGTGATAAGGAGATTTCATCGCCTATTGAAGATTTGAAGCTAGTTTGGGCGATAAAGGATTGTTCATCGGCCAAACGATAGATTTTTATAACTTGGTGCTAAAAACTGTGTTGAGCGATAACCGTCGACTTGGATGAATTTTTGTAAGTTTTGAGCGATAATCTTTGCTCATCGTTCAAAACTTGTCTGCCTCATCGTCCAAGTCTTGTGCTTTCAACTTGATATCCGTTCAACGTATTGAGCGATAAGGATCCTTATCGCCCAACACACCAGGTGATGAAGAGTTGTTTGGTGGGCGATGAACTTATCTTAAACAGTTTGCCATGTTACTTATCTTGTGCGGTAATGTGTTGCCCGTCGACCTATCAATCTGTCCAAAGCTTCATGCAATGACCCTTCAAGCTGAGCGATGAATAAGGAAGTTGAAGCTGTATCTGCCCAAGGATTGAACGATAACATCGTTCATCACCCAAGGCTTGAGAGATAACCTTGCTCATCGCCAGGGAGCGGGCGATAAGCTAAAGGTTCATGCCCTCTCCGCCTAAGGCATGGGTGATGAGCTGTCTGACTTCTCATCATTCAAAGTACTTGTTTTACGACTCTTCGTGCTTAACCAATGTTCTTAACGAATTTATTTGCCCTATTCACCTTGTGCTTAATGATTAAGTTGATTTTTTTTATCAATTTTACCCTTAAGAGCATCAAACAACAAAGTTGGTCAACATTGACTTTTTAAGTCAAAGTTTGAATTTTTGGTCAACCATTGGGGATTATTGTTTAAAAGCCAAATTTGAAAAGATTTGAAAAATGTTGATTGGTTTTTGTATTTGATTGGACTAGTCAGAGTTTTAGTATCTGCAATCATTACTCTGAAGTTTTTTCACAAGAGGCTAGACCATTAAGTGCCTTCACTCATTTATTTTGACCTGATCAATTAGAAGTCTTGAAGGTTTGCAATCAGTGTTCTGGAGGTTCTGAAAATTATCAGATATTTGAGTGTTCTCAGTCATTATTCTAACTTGATCAGTTAGAGGTTTGAAAGTCTACACTCATAAGACTCTTTGTCATAAGACTGTTTGCACTAGAATGTCACGAGGCTCGCACATTTATCTATCCCTTAGTTGGATGAATCTATTACTTCCCGATTGGCGATGATTCTGCGGTTCAAGGTTGTGTTGAGTCAACTGCAGTTTTAGCTGTACTTTATGCAATCAGTGGTATTGAATTCACATGGGCTTATCTTGCTTATCAAACTCTGGATTAGAATGAATGTTTCATACTTTGTTATTTGATGCTTGACATACTTGAGCATTTGAATCCATACTAACCTTAGCTTTTAAGAAAACTGGACCAAATAATTCATCAAACATATCACTCATAGATTTATAAACAATATATTCATCTTTGTTATCACAACATGAGTTTCTACATCTTCTTCTTTGTCTAAATCTGAGTCCGAAGCATTGATCATTTCATCAAACTTATCTTGTGTCATATTTTCTATAAACTTAGATAATTTTGTTGATTCTTGAATCTCAGAGTCTTTGGAATCATTCTCAACAAGAATTCAAGACCATAATTAGTTTGTGATGAAATATCTTTCTGAGAAGTGTTTTCAGAGTTGTCATTTGGTTCTCTAGACTAGAGATGGCCAAAAACCGGTCCCGGGCCGGTCCCATTCGTTCCTAATCTTTCTCATAACCGGCCATAACTGGTCCCGGCGTAACCGGTCCCGATGCCGATCGAAAATCTTAGGACCGGTCAAGGTACTTCATAATCGGTTATGGGCCGCCGGTCCCAACCGGTCCTTGCATTAAAAAATAATATTTTTTTTTGACTTTTTTAATGATATATATTTTTAATACATTATAAAATTTACAATTTGGTCACTCAAATACACTTTAAAAATGCGTTTTAATATAATTAAAATTACGTTTTTTTATAAAAATACATTATAAAATTATTTAAAAATACATTTATTTATAAAAGTATTTGCATTTTCGGGCCGGGCCGGTCCATAGTCGGTCCCATAACCGGTCTCGGTCCCATGAAACTACCAAAAACCTCAACCGGTCCCGGTTTTCAGTCCTATAACCGGTCCTTACCGGTCCTGGTCCCGGTCCCGGGCCGGTCCTTTGTCAATCCCGGGCTGGGCCGGGCTGATTTGGCAATCTCTACTCCAGACTTTTGATCTTTACTCCGAACATTTGATTTAGAGTTCTGAATTTCTTTAGAAGTGTCACAATGCGGATTACTTGGTTCACAACTCTGAGTTGTCTTTTCAGACTTGAATTCAGACTTAAAATAGTGACCAGAATACTCATAGTTTTTGTAAGAAAAAAAAAGTTTCTTTGTTTTCATATCTCTTATTCAAGTCTGAATAATCAAAGCCTATTCCAAATTTGAAAATTTTCTTATTTTCACAACTCCGAGTTTCAAATTTAACAGATTTACATTTTTCAGAGTTAGTTTCTTCACAAAAAATTTCTTTTCCTTTACATTGAATTTTGAAAGAGGATGAACTAGATTTCTCAAAACACTTATCCGAAGGGATTCTTTCAACAAGCTTTTTATTTTTGGGTTTTGAGAATGAATTTTCTGAGTTGCTTTGGGTCGAACCCATCTTTGAAAATTTATACATATTTGTTGGAACATTTGTCAAAATTGTGTTTTCATTCAAACCCAATCCCATCTTTCACTACTAAAAAACCAGGTATCATCAACGAATATCAGCGAGGGAAAATTTCCCTCGCAGATCAGCGAGGGATCAGCGAGGGATCAGCGAGGGAAATGCCAAAAAACTCATTCCCTCGCTGATCCCTCGCTGATCTGCGAGAGAAAATTTCCCTCGCTGATCCCTCGCTGATCAGCAAGAGATCAGCGAGGGAAATGCCAAAAAACTCATTCCCTCGCTGATCCCTCGCAGATCAGCAAGGGATCAGCGAGGGAAATGCCAAAAAAATTCATTCCCTCGCTGATCCCTCGCAAATCAGCGAGGGATCAGCGAGGGAAATGACAAAATTCAGGATCCCTCGCTGATCCCTCGCAGATCAGCGAAAGATCAGCGAGGGATTTTTCTATTTTTCCTATTTTCTCATTTTTATGTGTTATATGTACATATTTTTATGTGTTGATATCGTATGTATGCATGTCATGTGTTTTTTGTGTGTGTGTGTGTGTATATATATATATATGTTGTGGTTGCTAACCGCGATATGTGCATGTGTTATAAGTATGTATACCCGTCGTGAGGGAAAATGATTTTTTCCATTTTTTTAATTTTATAACTACTAATTTAATTACTTATAAATTATTTATTAATAATTATTTATTAGATTATTACAAAAATTAATTAATAAAACTGATTAAGCCCAATAAAACCGAATAAAACCCATTAAGGCCCAATAAACCAAATAAAGTCAAATAAAACTAAATAAAGTTCATTAAGGCCCGATAAACTCAATGAAGCCCGGTAAATAGATTAAGGCCCAATGAAACCGAACAAAGCCCAGTTAAATGGGTTAAGGCCAATAAAACCATATACATATAACACACACACACACACACACTGTCTATACATTCACATATACACATACGTTTAAACATATATTCATCCATCCAATCGTGGCTAGCAACCAGTACACATCGTGTATATATGTGTATATAACATTGACCGACGGGTATATATACATATAACACATACAACGTCGTGTAAAAATATATGTTTATAACACGGACTAACGGGTATATGTACTTATAACACATGCATATATACATACGATACCTAAATATAAAAATATAATACATAAAATTAAAGAGAATCAAGAAAATAGAAAAATCCCTCGCTGATCCCTCGCAGATCAGCGAGGGATCAGYGAGGGAAATGGCCAAAAATCAGATTCCCTCGCTGATCCCTCGCAGATCAGCGAGGGATCAGCGAGGGAAATTGCAAAATTCACATTCCCTCGCAGATCTGCGAGGGATCAGCGAGGGATTTTTCTATTTTTCCTATTTTCTCATTTTTATGTGTTATATGTACATATTTTTATATGTTGATGTCGTATGTATGCATGTATGTGTGTTGTTTGTGTGTGTGTATATATATATATATACATATGTTGTGGTTGCTAACCGCGATGTGTATTATATGCACACATGGGCATGTGTTATAAATATATATACCCGTCGTCCCGTGTTTTATATATATATATATGTTTACACAATGTTGCAATTGTTATATGTATATATATACATGTATACACGATATATATAGATGTGTGGTGGTTGCTAACCACGATTGGATTTATGTATATATACTTGTCGAGTCGACTTTATTAGGCTTTATTGGGCCTTAAGGAACTTTATTCGATTTTATTGGGCCTTAATGAGATTTGTTCGGTTTATTGGGCCTTAATGGGCTTTATTCGATTTTATTGGGCCTTAATGAGATTTATTTGGTTTTATTGGGCCTTAATGGGCTTTATTCGGTTATATTTGAGCCCTAATGGGTTTTATTCGGTTTGGTTGGGCCTTAATGGGTTTTATTTGGGTCCAATAAAACCGAACAAAGCCCAGTTAAATGGGTTAAGCCCCGATAAAAAAAAGAGGACAATTCCCTCGCTGATCAGCGAGGGATCTGCGAGGGAATGTGAATTTTGTCATTTCCCTCGCTGATCCCTCGCTGATCTGCGAGGGATCATCGAGGGAATCTGATTTTTGGCCATTTCCCTCGCTGATCCCTCGCTGATCTGCGAGGGAAAATGCTTTTTGCTTTTCCCTCGCTGATCCCTCGCTGATCAACGAGGGATCAGCGAGGGAATAGGCAAAAATCATTTTCCCTCGCTGATCCATCGCTGATCTGCGAGGGATCAGCGAGGGAAAAGCAAAAAGCATATTCTCTCGCTGATCCCTCGCTGATCTGTGAGGGATCAGCGAGGGATTTTACTATTTTTTCTATTTTTTCATTTTTATGAGCTTGATTCGGTTTCATTGGGCCTTGATGGGCTTGATTCGGTTTTATTGGGCCTTAATGGTCTTCATTCGATATTATTGGGTCTTACTGGGATTTATTCGGTTTTATTGGGCCTAATGGGCTTTATTCGGCCTTAATGGACTTTATTAGGTTTTATTGGGCCAAATGGGCTTTATTCGGTTTTATTG